GTCGCCCCCCACAGGTGCTCCCTGGGAAGCCTACCCTCCTGCCCACCTTCCTGCCCCGGGCCCTCTGAGCCCCTTGGTGGCCAGGCTGTCCTCACCTGAAGGCCCAGGAGGCTGGAAGACTCTGCCTGGACCCACATCCCTCACTTAGACTGAGGCATGGACCAGGGAATTTGTTGGGCGTCAGGGGATGCGAGTGTGCCAGCAGCCAGCACCACACCGTGGCATGTCGAGCCATTTCCCAGCCAGTGTCTGCCTGGCCTTCCAGCTCCCCTGGGTGGGGTCAAAGGCCATCTGCAGTTGGTCGACAAGTGCCCTCCTCCCTAGCTTAGGGCCCTGAGAGGGGGCTTGGCATGAGAATGGAGAGGCAAGTGCCAAGGCACCACCCACTCTAAGGCCAACTCCAGAGCTTGGCACCATGGCACACACCTTAAATCCAGAGACCTAGGAGCTGGGGCAGGAGGGTCCCACGTTCGAGGCCAGCTTCAGCAACTTAGGTCTGGGGACGTAGCTCAATGGTGGAAGCCCCTGGGGTTCAATTCCTAGTCACAGCTTCTGTGGGTGCTGCCACTCTGTGGGCACAGGAAGGCACTCATGTGGCGCTCTGAGCTCGGCTCTGTCCTCCAGGGAGCCCACTCTGCTCTCAGACTCCCTGTTTCTCATGCAAGTGGTTGGCTTAGAAAATGACCGTGATGACCCTGAATCCATGCTGCTCTTGAATTCTGTCAGCCTGGAATGCGAGCCATGTGGCTTCAGGGATTCAGACTGTTTAAGTTCCTGGTGACAGTGTCCCTCACAGGCGGCTGCCTGCGTCCCAGCCTGTGGGCCGCCAGACCATTCAGGCAGGTCCTGGGCCCTCAACTGCAAGATGGAGTGCAGCTCCCCTGACCTCTGCCCTGGTGGTGGCCCACCCTGCTGCCCACCTCTGAGCCCTGACCAGCCAGCAGCCCTGCTCTGCCCTGGGAGAGGGCCATTGCATGTTGGTGTCCTCAGGTGTTCCTGTGTCCTGGCTGGGCATGCCCTATCTCCAGCCCCCCTGATCCTGGACATGGCTTGGTGACTTTCCTTGGCCCGGCACACTCTAGCTGCTTGTCCACCAACCGTGCTCAGACGGGAGCATCTCCTCCCTTGTGGGCAGACGTCCATGGGATCTGCTCGCTGGCACACGTACAGGGAGACGCTGCATGGCCCCAAGGAGTCACCCAGGCTAGCTCCCCAGAGTCACTCAAGAGCCTGCTCTTCCAGCTCCTGGAGGTGGTGGCCTTCTGTGGGGGTGGTGAGATGACAGCGTGCAGGGTCCCAAGACCCTGTTTCCTCAGAACTCGGTCTGGATGGCTCCAAGTGCTCCACTGTTTGGAGGCGCAGAAAGGAGAACGTGGGTTAGGGTGGAGACCCTCACAGGAGGGCTCCCTAGGCCTGAGCTCCGGGTCGTCCTGACTGGTGCTGTGTCTGTCGGGGACAGCTTGGGTGAGAGGGAGGTGCGGCGTGCTGTAGGTGACTCGGCCGGCCGGCCTGGGCACTCGTCTGGGGCCACCCCAGCTCTGGCACCTGGGACGGTCTGCTCCACCTTCTGTCCTGGCACAGTCCCTCCGTAGAGACCTGCCCATGCCCACTGGCCCTGGAGCTCTTCTCGGGAGCCGGCGTGGTCCGCGGGTAGGCCTGACCATCGCACCCCGGCCCTCTCTGGCCTCCGGGCAGCAGTGGGAAGCTGCCTGCCCTGAGCTGAAGAGAAGCCCGGCCCTGGGCAGAGCCCCCGGCTGCAGCAGAGCCAGCACTGGCCCTGGACTCTGGATGCTGTGGGCCAAAGGCGGTCGGTCAGCATCAGAGCCGGAGGAGCGACACCGTCTTGAGGTCCTCCAGGCCACGTGGCCTGTCCGTCTTCTCGTTTCGTCTTTTCCAAGCCTCACAGTGTTTCCAATTTGTAGAAAACACGAAGTCCTTGGGAAAGCATAGGGAGATGCCCCCCGCCTGCGGGCGTCCTCCTGGGCATGCTGGATGGAGTGCCTGCCCACAGGCCTGCTGCTGGTCACCCAGGCTCCCGAGGACCCAGCTGGGCCAGAGGTGACCCCGCTCCAGGTAACGGCTCCAGAGCCCAGCCCACGTTCCAGGAGCACAGTCCTGTGCCTGCGAGTCCTGTGTTCACACACCATCTGTGCTGTCCCTTGTGGAGCTGCCTGACCTACCCACCTGCCGCCCCATGCTGTCCCAGCCTGGGAAGGTCCTCTCAAGCCTGACAGGGACTGACGAGAAGAGGCTCCCAGGGGACCAGGCCGGTGCTGTGCCCTCTGTGCTCATCTCGTTCCATTTCCACTTCTTGTCTCTTGAGTCCTCTTTGTGTATCAGCTGCAGCCCAGGGACCCCTGGGGAGGGCTCAGCTCCCTGGGGAAACCGCCGCCCAGTGGAGAAAGAGCCAGCCCTTGGCAGGGGCCACCACGTCCACCCCCAGCCTGTAGGTGCCAGCACACCTCATGTCTGTGTGTCTGCCTGTCTGCAGTGACACCTGCATGCCTGGGCCAGCTCGTGTCGCCTGCCAAGCTGTGTCCTATGTGTTGATGGGCCATCAAGCCCAGTTGCTCCTCAGCCTGGCCTGGTGGGGGCTCACCTGATTGTACCCTCTGGAACTGGAAGGGTTGCACTGTACCCCCACCATACCTCTCTGGGACCGTTGCCAGTGTGAAGTGGGGGTGCCCTGTCCAGAGCATGTGGGGTGAAGAGAGGCTGGCTACATCAGGGGTCAGCAGGCTTTGCAGAGAATGCCTGGCTCTGGCCCCAGCACCCCCCTTGTCCACAGCTCTAAGTTCTAAAGTGGGCTGTTGGAGTCCCTGCTAGCAGTCGCAGGGCAGCCTGGGTGGCACGGCTTGTCCAGAGCAACTGTCCCAAACTGAAATCACTCTTCTCTCCTCAGGAATCCCTTTGCCAATGTCCAGCTGAAGCCAACGGTGACCAATGACAGGTCTGCTCCCCTCCTCAACTGACAGCCACGCCTGCAGTGCCACACTCTGCCACCCATACACCTGATCCTGTCACCACCTGTGAGTTCCTGTTGGGAAGACCAAGGCCCAAGCCCCCTTCAGCTCAGTTGGATCTGAATCTTGGCTGCTCCTGGGATTGGTGACGGGCGGGACTGACCAGCGGGTGACCCTGAGAACCCTAGGCCTGCTGGTCCTGCCATGGCCTTGGCAGAGAGGCTGGTCCTCTTAGGGTAGGCACCTCTGGTCCCAGGACAAGAGCTCCAGTTGCCCCTGGTCACAGGAAGACATGGGTCAGCTGTGGCTGGAAGGGCTCCTACTGCTGTTCTCACCTCCCGAGCCTGCTCAGTAAATGGCTGCCCCCCGGGCCAGGTGTGATCTGTGGGCCTGGGTGGACCCTGTTCTCCAGTGTGATTTATCTTAGCACCAAGCTTCCCCCGGGCTTTGCCTGCTGTTCCTGGGGACTGAGTGGGCTCTGCCCAGCTGCCGTCCTGCCTCTCTCCAGGCCCGTCTCCTCCCTGCCTGAGCCCTACTTCCCATCCAGAACTCTGCTGCTGGCAGTGTGCCCGGGGTCACCAGCTGTGTGCCTGCTGGCTGGTGGGGTCCTGACTCTGCCCAGGACTCCTGGGTGGGACGGGACTGCCCCCCAGCTGCTTCCTGCAGGGGCTGAGCCTTTGCTGGATACAAACTTCAAAGCTCCTGAGCAGAGCTCACTCCTCAGAGACCCTCCCAGGAGGGCTCTGAGCTCCTGGCTTGTCTACACGGGAGGCTGCGCCACAGCTCAGGGGGCACATGGAACCGCAGGGAGCACAGAAATCCTCGCTCCTCCAAAGCCCCTGCCTCTTACCCACTGCTGGGCCAAGGAGCAGGCACAGCCCCTGGAGGGGTGGGGGGTCTCCCGCCCTGACAGCGGTGCCAGGTCACCAGGGTGTGCCTCCTATCCCCAAACAGCTGGTGGCTGGCAAGCCCCCCAGGGCTTTGTCTACAGACACCAAAGAAGACACTGAGCACAAGATTTTTTTCTTAGCGTGGTTTCTCTTAAAAAAACAAAAAAGAACAAGAAAATCATTGCACCAGCTTCTGAAGCCTCAAACTAATTAAAAAAAAAAAAAACCACACACACACAAACTAAAAAATGTCCCTTCCCCACCCCCAAAGCAACAATAAACTTTCTCTTTGGCAACAATAACTTAAAATCACCCCATTTCCATTCACTCCAGCAACCGTGGTTACAAAAATACTTCCCTGTGCTGCCTGCGAACCCCGGCCCCGCCTCTTCCCCATTTCCCTGTGGCAGGAGCCCCCACTATCCCTTGACTGCTGGGGCCCGGGGCCAGGCACTGTCCCAAGGAGGGGAGCTACCTGTACCACCCTGCCGAGGGCACCTCTAGAACAGGGCCAGTAGTGGGGTGAGGCCTGGAAGCCCCTCTTGGTGCCTCTGGCTGCCTTTTTCAGCTCAGGAGGACCCAAGAGGGAGCATCCCAGACCCTATGGGGAGGGCCTTGTGGGTAGAGGCAGTGAAGGGGAACAGTCACTCGGAGATAAGGGCATTGGAGACACGGAGCCCACCGCCTCTTCTTGCACCAAGCAAACCCAGACCAAGGTGGAAGGGTGCACGAAGATTTGAAGGCCCGACCTCATCTGGGGCCAGGCCTTGCCTGGCCAAGGACACAGATGTCCTGTGAACACAGGAAGGAAGCCAGCCAGGCAAGGCATGCAGGCCCGTGGCCAAGGGTGGGTCCCCAGGCCTGAGGCCAAGCAGTCCAACAGCAGCAGCCAGGCAGAAGGGTGGCCGCAGGGTGGGGCCGCCTAGGCCCAGGGAGTGGGCCCCTCTGGAGTGTGCATGTATGTGGAGACACCCATCGTGCCACAAGCATCCCCAGGCCGACAGCAAACCCGTGTCCAGTCACATTCTGCCCCCGGGCAGCGCGAGTGTCCTTGCACAGCCAGTTTTCTGTCCACCTGCTTCTCCAGAATGCTGCAGGGGACACTGCGGCACTGGAGTCCCATTCCCCTTCACCATCCTTGCTGCTGCCTGGGCAGGGCCTCCAGTGACGCCAGCCTTCACGAGGGCAGCTGCTCAGGTCTCACGCCTCAGGGCAACCAGCCCCAGCACTGGCTGCAGGGCCTGGCAAGGGGAGTTGCAGTGAGCCTTAGGAAGAACCGCCCATCCCAGACTCCAGGCCCCTCCCCGACACTCCCACCAGGTCCAGGGGCAGGCCTCTTCCCTGCAGGTCAGTCTAGGTGGGCCTGTTTCTCCTCCCACCACCTCTCCCCAACCCAGGCCCAACAGTGCTCAGTAAAGGCCCTCCACGTCCTCCTGCAGGTGGGGAAACCGCCCGTTGGAAGCGGGTGTCGAGGATCATGCCTGGTAATCTGCCTGTCTGTACTGGGGATGATGGCAGGCCCTTGCCCAGGCCAGGACAGCTGTAGGGGCTGGGTCTATCTGGGGGAGGAGAGGTAGGCAGGCTTCCGGGAGGAGGTGGGCTTTGAGGGAAGCTTAGAGGATCTGAAGGGACTTGTCAAGCAGTGGGCAAGGGTGCCTGGAGGGGGGACCTGGCAGTGGACTGGGACGTGAATGGCAGGGGTGGTCTAGGGCCCTTCCTCCAAGAAGGTGAGGATGCGATCACACCGGTGCCCGGGGAGAGAGCTTGCAGTGATTTCTAGCAAGAACCTCCCACTTGAGATGGCCAGCAGGTGGGGGTGAGGGGCCATAGGCGATGGCGCCCTAGCGCGGGGAAAATTGGTAGGGTGCTCAGTGTCCAGCGGCCTGCCGTGGAGGGAGAAGGAGAAGCCCGAGAGTCTGCTCGGACGCGGGCAAGCCCCTGCTACAGCAGCCGAGGCCCGGGAAGGGGGTAGGCGACCGTTTCCTCCCGCAGCGGGGCGTCCCTCCCAGCTGCGCCGTCGCGCCGCCGCTCGGAGCCTCACCTCCCACGGACTGGGCGTCCGCGTCCGACACGTGCGTGATGGAGAAGCGGGACACGGGCGCGGGCGACACGGTGAAGCGCGAGAAGGCCGTGGGCGCGGCCGGCGTGAGGGGTGCGGCCGGTGTGGGAGCGGCTGGGTCCAGCGCGGCCGCCACGGCCGCCTTGGCGGGCGCCAGCGGGAAGTCGTCGTCCCACTCGAACCCGCCGCCTGCAAGCCGGGCGCCGAGACGTTCGCGTCCCTCGCACCCGCGCAGGGCCTGGCCCCGCCCCCGACGCCACGGCCCCGCCCCCCCAGCTCACCGTCTTCGGAGCAGTCACGCGAGCCGTCACCCCGTCGCGGCCGTCCGGGGGCGCTGGGCGAGCCGGGGCTACCCTCCAGAAACGCGGGAGGCGACTCCTTCGCGCCAGGGAAGGGCTCTCCGAGCTCCCGGGTGGGACTCTCCTGGAGGGACCAGAGAATCACATGGCTCACGCCAGGAGCCGCAGCAACTCTCACCCTCCCCATGCACCTCGTGCCGGCTATCCACCTGGTCAAAGAGGTAGACGGTGACATCGTCGAAGAAGGACACAGCTTTCTTCTTGCGCTCCAGGTCTTCGCAGAAGGCCTCCGACAGCAGGCTGGGCATCTTGAGCAGGCTGCGCAGGTTGCGCGCGCTCTGGCTCTCAGCCACCACTACTGGCACAGCTGGGGACTCGTCCTCACTGTCCTCGCTGGGCTCCTGGATGCTGTAGCAGCGGAGCTCTTCGTCCGACTCGTCGCTGTCTTCACTGTCCTCCTCCTCCTCCTCCGACCGGCCCTCCAATGCCCCAACATGGTCAGGCAGTGCCAAGCAGAGCGGGGTTCTGGAGGTGCCGGAGCCCCCTGTCCGCCCTTGTGGGGACCACCCTGACAGTCCTGGGGTCCTCTGAAGCTCTGCTCCTTCACCTTCTGAGCTCAGTGGGACCGGGGTCAGCAGGAAAAATTTGGAATGGCTAGGACTGGGCACAGTCTGCACATCTGATGGACCTTTGGACCCAGGAGGCTCTGCCTTGGGATTACTGGAGCAGGCATCTGGCTCCTCCCCAGGTGGAAGCGCCTCCTTGTGGCCAGTGCCTGGTGCCTCCTGGAGCACCCCAGGCTGGGGAGAAGCCTGTACAGATGGCCCAGGACCCTGTGGACTCTTAAGGTCTGGCTCTAGCCCCAGGGCCTGAGCCTCACTGCACTTCTGGGGGCCCACAGAGGGCTCAGACTCAGCATCCAGGTCTGAGAAGTATGCAGAGTCTCTGTAGGGGTTCTTCTCGCTGAGGCTTCCCAGGGAAGCCGAGAGCTGCATATCAGGCCCTCCACTCCCACCTTCTGAGGCCAGCTCCCCAAAGGCCCCAGGATCACTCGACTCATGGGCCTCCTTGAGCACAAACTCAGGGGACTCATAGTTCTCAGTGTCATAGCCACTGTCCAGGGCACGGGGCTGCCCAGCAGGGATGCCAGCGGCTGATGGGCTGAAGACCTCACAGCCACCATCACTGGCTGAAGATGGGATGTCCAGAGAGTCCAGGGAGTCGGGGGTCCCCACCTGCTTCTGCAAAGATCGGAAGGCTGGCACTATACCTGGCTTCTCAGCCTGAGGGCCATCACTAGACAAGTCAGTAAAGACACCCAAAGTGGCTTCAGTTGTGTCTTCCTCCTCACTACTGGGTGCCTCCTGGGCGGCAGAGTTACTGCTGCTGTCCAGAGTTGGGACTGGCTTGAGAACTGTGACCTGGCCACTGGTAGCAGGTGTGGGTGAGGCAGGCAGGGCATCAGGGGCGCTGGCCTCCTCTGAAGGAAGTGGGGCTCCCTCGTGGGATGGGGAGGGGATGGAAGGAAGAGGCAGTTGGGGTCCAGCAGAGCCCTCAGCCTCCTGGGCAAGCTTGGGTTCTGCCTGAGGGTTGCCACCCCCATTTACAGCAGTCTCTGTGCAGGGGGATGTGACCTGGCATGGATGGGGTGGGCTGATGCATCCACCTGGCTCCTGGCCCAGGGAGGCTGTCTGTGGCCCAAGCAGAGGCTCCCTGGGGTCCTCCCGGTCCAGGGGTTGGCCCAGCTCAGGGGAGGCTCGTGGGGTCTGGTTTGGGCTGGGGCAGTGGTCTGCGCAGCTGCCCACGTAGCCTGGGTCCCAGGAATCTGGGTCACGGCTGCCACTGTTGTTGTTGGCTGACATGTTGGAGCTCCAGTGTCCACGCTGGGCAGCCCTTTGTGCCTCAGCCTCCCCCAGCTCCTCCCCACCAGGGGATGGCTGGGCCCTGGAGCTCGCCGAGGGGGATGCCCCCAGTGGGTCCTGGAAGAATGGAGGGCAAAAAGCGGATACACCCCAGTCTGCATCCTCTGCTAGCATGGAGGGCCCAGGAGAGAGTGAACGTGAGGGGGAGGGTGGATCCCCAGCTCGGCTGCTGTTCTGGTAGTGGTTGCAGCGGCCCCTGGGGCCATCAGCTGGCGGTGTGTGGCCCAGCAGCGGCTCCATGGCCAGCGAGGCAGCGGTGCTACCGTCGGAGTCCTCGTCTTGGTCCGCAGCAGCGGGGGGGCTGGGCGCACAGTCAGAACAATCGGGATCGTGGCCCGCGGCAGGCGCGGCCTCCTCCAGGCGAATGAAGTACTCGCTGCCCAGAGAGGGGCTGTGCGCGCTGAGCACGGGCACCACGCCTGGCGGCGCTCCGTCGGGGGCACACAGCTCCTGCAGGCGCGCGGCGCGGCCCGGGCTCGGCGCGCCCCCCGTCGGCCGGAAGGCGTCGGCGCCGCGACCTGCCTCCCATTTGTACTCAAAGTTGAGGCCGCGGCTGGTCTCGGTCACTGTCAGCACGTCGTCGCCGTCCGCGTGGAAGCCGTCGCCTGCGAACTGCTCCAGCAGCGGGAAGGACGAGGTGGCGGCCAGCTCTGGGGCGCCGCTCAGCGCGGGACCCGCTGCGCCCATCCCTGGGCCCACGCCACCGCCGCCTGGCCGCAGTGAGCGCCAGCGCCGCTCGAACTCCTCCTCGGCTTCCGTGGCGCCCTTAGCGCACAGGTAGGACAGCAGCAGATGCACCTCCTCGGCCGTGGGCCGCTGCTCCGGCTGCAGCCAGCAGAACTGCATCACCTCGTACCTGCCGGGAGGCCCCATGGGTGGACCTGGCCAGGCCAGCCCCCCACGAGGAAGTTGTTCCCCTGACTTCAGCTACTTGGGGGCAGTAAAGGGGTCTCCCACTTACTTCTCCCACACCCCAGTCCCCCAAGAAGCCAGCAGCCTGAGAGCAGATCCCCCTTTCCTGATGACAGGTGTGCAGAGGCCCCTGAGAGGGCAGAGGCTGGGGCCAGGGAGACCTTGAACCCCAGCAGTTGTATTGAGCCACCTCTACCCTGGGACTTAGAGCATTCCCCACTTCTGAGACTTCCTGTGCAGGGATGGTGGGGTCCTCACCAGCGGTCAGACAAGGTCAGCTGCAACTGGGGCTTGGGTAACTTGAGCTGCTGCTCCCGGACAGCATAAGCCAGCACCTGCCGGTCTGAGTGGTGGGGGTAAGGCTGTGCACCCAACTCGAAGAGCTCCCAGATGGTCACACCCAGGGACCTGTAGGGCCAACCACTGTGAGATGGGGCTGGGCATGCCCCTACAGGACCCAGGGACACCTAGGGCAGCTCCATCATCATGCCAGCCTCTCCAGAAACAGCTCAGTACTACACAGCTGCTCCCACCCCACCCCCACCAAGAAGAGATCATGGTCACCCTGGCCAGGACGAGTCCAGCCCCAGGATGCCTCGATAGTAAAAGCCAGACTGGAAAACACCCCTGTGGGGCTGAGGGAACAAGCTGGGGCACCAGGCACAGGTGCGGCTGGGAGAGAGCAACTGGGGGCTCTTTCCAGAGGGCCGTGGCTTCACCTGGCTCTGGGGAGTGGAGGACAGAGTTACTGTGGCGATGGAGAAGTTACTGACCCTGGCCAGAGCTCTGTGCCTGGGGACCCTAGCCAGAGTGCAGTGGGTTGGGCACACTTGAAAGGGACACCTGGACCGAGAACTGAAGACAGGGAGAGGAGGTGGAGCCATGATGGGGGCATGGTTCAGAGGCCTAGGGGAGGCCCCTAAAAGTTCAGGAAAGGTGGCTGGTGCAGGGGTGCAGGCTCTGATTGTCAGCAGGAGAGGGACAGAAGCAGAGGCTGGTCCAGCCACCTCTGTGGCAGGAGGCAGCCCCAGGACTGTGAAAGCTGGCACTCTCCAGGTCCCCAGAGCAGCTCCGCCCTGTCCCTCTGAAGGCTGCTGAGCCAGGATGAAAAGAATGGCCACTGCCCAGCTGGGCACTGGGGCTCAGAATGGCGGCTTCCAGGAGGCAGTCCTGGGGGACCCCCAGCACCCCTCCCAATCTGCTTCTCTGCCCAGCATGGCCTGACCACCACTTGCCTAAAGGCAGCCAGCAGCCCACCCCCACCTCCCCAGGGGCACAGGTGTGATCCAGGCCCACACCCCACAGGACAACCCACGCTGCTGCTTGTAGCGGCATTTTGAAACTCAGTGTGCACTCTGACTGTTATTGTTGGATGTCAGCCCAGTAGATCCTGTGAGGCCCAGAGTCAGGGAAGTCCCTCCACCAGCATGGGGTCCCCAGCAACTACACCTGCTCAGTCCACTAGCATTTGCAAATGCAGGTGGGCACCAGCTCCCAATGACCCCCAGAGGCCAGTATGGCAGACACAAGATGTTATCTCACGCTAGACTCTCCTGCAGTGGCCAGCCTGCATCCCGCCACAAAAGGCCAGGGGATGGCTGGATGGCTGGTGGAGCGACCCTTCAGGCCTGCAAACCCTGTGTCCTTTCCATATATATATATATATTAAATTGGGGATTTAACAGGGTTCACTTTGCCACTGAGCCTGGTCCTTTTTTAAAAGATAGGATCTTTCGGGGGGGCTGGGGTTGTGGCTCAGTGGTAGAGCACTTGCCTAGTACTCGTGAGGCACTGGGTTCCATCCCCATCACCACATAAAAAAAACTAAATGAACAAAATAAAGTTATTGTGTCCATCTACAAATAAATTTTTTTTTTTAAAAAAAAAAAGACAGGATCTCTCACTAGATGGCTGAGGGTCTTCCTAAATTGCCAAGACTAGTCTTGAACTTGCTATCCTCCTGCCTCAGCTTCCTGAGTTGCTGGGGTAGCAGGCACACATCACCGCACCCCAGGCAAACCCTTCATTCTTGCTAGAGGCTCCACTCAAGCCCCAGGCAGCCCCGAGGCTGAGCCCATCCAAGGCCCGGCCCCACCTGCCCCTCACCTGTGCACACAGAAGCAAGGGGAGGTCAGTGCTCCCGAGACGCCCTCTCTGCTGGGGACTGGCACTCACCACACATTGCTGGTCTTGGTCTGATCTACCACGAGCAGGTTGCCATGCACCTCATCCACCAGCTCCGGGGCGATCCAGCGCAGCGGCACCCACAGCTGGTCAGCGGTCACGAAGTAGTCTTCCTGTGGGCCCACGGGGACGGGTGAGCCCTGCCAGGCGCAGCCCCCTGCAGGCCCCACCCACCCTGACTTACCCTGTACTTGCAGTGAGACAGGCCGTAGTCGCCAATCTTTACCGCCAGGTCAGCTGTGAGCAGGCAGCTTCGCAGGGCCAGGTCGCTGTGGGGTGGGAGGCAGGGTCAGCCGGGTGTGCCAGGCTAGGGGCCTTGAGCACTGAGGGTCCTCTGCCCACAACTGGACAGCTGGTCACCCAAGGTGTCCTGGGCTCCACCCAGCAGTAGGCAGGAAGAGGCGTCTGAGAGGTTGGCCCCAGCCCTGGGCACTCTGGAAAGCCTGCATGGACAAGGCCTCTAAACTGACAACGCAGATGAAGAAAACGAGGCCCAGAGAGGGCCAGGACATGCCTAAGGGTCCCCAGTGAAGGCACTGCCAGGCCAGCACTAGCACGCCAACCCCCAGCCCCTCCTTCCCTTCTGGGGTACCTCTGCTGGCCTGGCCTGGAGTGGACCTGAGGCCACAGCAACCCCTGCTGTGGGTCTGCGGCTTTCCTCCCAGGGCCATGTTCCCTCTGACCTGTGCCACATCACCACTCTAGCTCCCTGGGAGGCGAGAATCCACGGGGAACTGAGGCCCGGAGTGTCCCGGGGATCCTGCCAGTGGCCAGAGCCCATGTTTCAGACCCTGGTCCTGCCCTGCCACACAGGGTGGGAGCTGAGGCCCCAGGGTGGGGTGGAGCATGCAGGTGACCCAGAGTGACCTCCAACCCAGTGGCTGTCTCTGGTGGAATTTTACCCTCCTGCCTGGCTGGAGGGTGTGTGAGGCACTGGGTTCGATCCCAGTGTGTGTCCAGGGACACGCAGCTGTGCCAAGGACTCAGGTGGGGATGGAGCAGCTCCAGCCTGTCCCTACCCCAGGAGCCCTGTGTCTGGGTGCCAGGGCACAGCTGCAGAGGAGCCAGGTGTCCTGGGCCACAGCTGTGTGCCCGTGCCTGGGGTGGGGGTAGCAGGGCAGGTGCGCAGGGGTCAGGAAGCTGGCAGCTGCCCTCTTCAACAAAATCACTGATGCTGGAGTTGCCTGTGTCACCACTCAGCACCAGGATATTGTTGGGGAGGACGGCCCATGCGGCGTCCAGGGCTGGCAGGGGCCACTTGTCCATCACCACTTCTTCCAGCACGTCCCCCCAGGCTGGGGGGACATCCTGGCCTGTCTTTCTGACTGCTGAGGTAGGACAGAGCCTTCCGGCTGCTGGGGGCCAGCTAAGCCCTTCCTTTTTGCCTTGGGGGAGACAGGGCAGGGCTGATGCGAGGTTTAAAAAGTCTGTAACCCTCCCGTGGTCACTATTCAAAGTGATAGAGGTTGCCCAGTGAGTCCTCCCAAGGCCCCAGGAGGTGGAACCAGGTGCCCTTTCTGCAGGGCACACAGGCGCTGGGCACAGAGGAAGCCCATCCAAGGCCCGGCCCCACCTGCCCCTCACCTGTGCACATAGTTGTTGCGATGCAGGTGCAGGACACCACAGGCTACCTCACAGGCCATGCGCTGCAAGGTCAGGGGGTCGGGCGCCATGGACTCGGGCACCCGGCAGCTCCGCAGGTAGCCCTTGAGATCCCCCTGCCAAGAGGAGCACAGAGCCGCCTGCCAGCTGGGGAGTGGCTGCCAGTGCAGGCTGCCGCCCTGCTCCAGAGCCCTGCTGCCCACCCTGCCCACCCACCTGCTGGGTTGGCAGGTCTGACCCTTGAGCCAGGGCTGCCCACCAGCCACCAGGCAGCGGCTGCCCAGAGGAGCCCAGCACTGCCCCACAGCAGCTGTGGCTCGGCACCAAGCTATTTCTGGAGAGGACTTTGTGTCCCAGAGATGGGCCAACAGGAATGACCCACAGGTGGCCCTTCAGAGTGCTTTCTCTAAACTGGCCCGGCCAACTGGCCCGGTGGGGTCCCTAGGGCCAGATCCCTTTGGACAGTCAAAAACACGAGCCTGAATGGATTTGTTGACCACCACATGAGCCAGGAGGAACGGGGGCTGGTGGCCAGAGGATGGGCCGCAGCCCCTGAGTGCGGAACAGAGCTGCTCCCGGGAGCCCAGGTGCCAGGAGTGCAGACCCCAGGGTGAGGGCCTGTGTCCTGCCGGATGCCAGCTCTGCCACAGGCAGCCTCAGTGCGGGCACACCTCAGCTCGGTGCTGGAGCTGTGAGCATGCACAGGGCCCAAGGGGGACAGTCTGCAGGCAGGGGACGCAGAGTCTGCCCTGGAAGGTGGCCAGTCCCAGGCTCTCATGATTAAAACGGAGGGAAGTGTCGCCAGCCCCATGGCTGCTAGGACACCTTGAGCTCAACGACCACCCAGGCTGCTCTGGGGAGCCCAGGCAGATGGGAAACCCCCGGGGGGCACAGGGGGCCTCAGCCCCAGGCCCACTTTGTCCTGAGCCCACAGCCATGCCTAGTGCTGGCAGGTCACCCTCTGTGTGCAAGCTGCCTCTGGACGGTGGTTCAGGAGGGCCTCCTGGGACTCCACCTTAGGGGGTGTGAGGCCTGTGAGGCCTAGGTAGGGCAAGAGGGGACCCCACTGAGCCAAGCCCCACCCCCGCAGCAGAGGGCTGGGGATGGGCGGCCCCTGTGCACAGCACTCACCAGCGGGCAGAGCTCCATCACCAGCAGGTAGGGCGTCACCTCGGCGCACTGGGCCAGGCACTGGAGCAGGTTGCTGTGCTGCAAGGCCCTGCAAGAGCCCACAGGAGCGCTGAGGCGCGGGCGGGGCTGCAGCTGCTCCTGCACAGGCCTCCCGCCCCCACCACCCCAGCCCTGGGCCCTGGGCCACCCACCTGTAGGGCTGCGCCTCCTCCAGGAACTGCATCTGCTCCTGCACGCTGGCACTGGCCTTCAGCTCCTTCACCACCACCTGGGTGCTGCTGACGCCCGAGTGCACCTCGCCCAGGAACACCTGTCAGGCACGCCCGTCACCCTCCCCTCCCAGAGCAGCTCGGTCCTCGCTCTGCGTCCTCCCGTCCTCGGAGAAGTCCTGCCACCCTGAGGCCTGCTCTGCTCCTTCGCAGGATGAGCTTTGGAACCTTCTATGCCTGCTGTCTAGTCCCAAGGCCCTGGCTCTCGGGCTCGGGCTCCACCGTCCAGGCTGAGGGTGGGGTGGGGGAGCTGGGCCACAGGGCTGCTCCCCCTCCCCCAGCAGCCCCTGCCCCCACCCCCCGCCAGTGAGTGCGCTCACCTTCCCAAACCAGCCGTGGCCGATCTCCTTCAGGTACAGGAGGCTGTGCCGACCCAGGTCCGTGGACTTGAGGAGCTGCACTGTAACGGCAAGGGACTCAGGACCCCTCCACCTCCTCCACCTCCCGTCCTCACCTTGTCCCTCCAGGCCCGTCCTGGGGAGCTAGCCGTGTCCCCACAAAAGACACAGGCCATACCTGGGGGCTGCCATCAGGGGCCAAGGTCTCTGAGGAGCAGGGCACCTGCTGCCCAGGTGAGCCATGGTTCTAGCTCCATCCGGGCATCTCCAGGTCGGCCTGGGAAGGGCTGCCTGAAGCCACCAGGACCAACCAGGCCAGAGACAACAGGCCCTGGAGCTGGACCCACTGCCTGGGCAACACGGAGCCGGCAGTGTGGCTGGGGCCAGAGCTCACGCCGAGGCCTGGGGAGGGCACCAGGACGCCCGTCCCCACCCTGCCGCAGGCTGGCATCCGTCACCCAGCACACCAAAGGCTCCTTTGTTGGGGGCTGCTTGGCACAGCCCCGTACGGGACACACTGGGCCCATTCTCCCTGAAGGCCAGGCTGGGTGAGGTCAGCAGGCAGGAAGGGTCAGTGTGGGTCCGGGAAGAAGGGGCCAGGGCTAGCTGCACCCACTCATGCCCCAACAGATTCCCCAAATTCTGCTCCCACGCCAGCATCCTGGAGGGCCGGGCGGGCCAGGCCTGAGACCAGCTGCCAGCAGAGCCCAGGGCCCAGGGAATGTTCGCTTGAGGCAGACATTGGGGCGAGGGTCCTTGGTCCCTGTGCCTGGGACTTTTCACCTGCAGCCCAGCCTGTCTGGACACTCCCTCCCACCTTGGGGTCTCAGGAGCTCCTTGTCCCTGTGCAGCTCAGGGGTCCTGGCCGTGGACACAGGGCCAGCCACAGAGGCAGGAGGAGCAGGGTGGAGGGCAGGCCTGAGCCATCCTCCCCTGTCGTCCTGAGACGGGTGACGCTGGATAGTCACGTTTCCATTCCCAGACCCAACCAATCCCAAGTCTCTCCCCTCTGTGGAAGCAGAGTGCTCCCGGGTGGTCCCTGTTCCTCTCTGTGCAGGGCTCAGGAACCCCACGGTATCCAGGAGGGCCGGGTCCCATGCAGCCAACCCACCTGCCCCTTTAGGAGTGCTAGGGAGCCACGGGCCTTCAGGCCAGTGGGCAGATGGGCTCATAACGGAGCCTCAGGCCTGGACTCCTATCTGAGCAGTGACCTCTGCTCCAGGAGACTGGGGGGCTGGAGGACGCGCATGGAGCCTTGGGCCCAGGCTGCAGGCCTGCTCGGGAGGCCCGCTCTAGGTCTGCTCGGCAGACCCAGACCCAGCCTGGGTGGAAGGTAGGCTGGCGAGGAAGCCCAAGGGAAGGCCAGCAGGGCACAGCCCAGGGCAGGTGGTCGGCTCCTCACCCCAGAGACACACCTCTGTGCCCACAGAGCCCCCCTGGGGCCGGCAGGGCTTCCTGACCTGACATCCCTTCCCTCAGTGTTCCCAGAGGTCTTGGGGGTAGGCGGCCAGGGGACAGCCCGTGGCTAGAAGTTCCAGGCAGAGGGGCCTGAAACCCGACGCCAGGGAGGTGGCTGGAGGCCATGGACCCCATCCCTGCCCAGGACAGAACCAGGGTTCCAGAGCCTCTGCCATTTACCATCACCTTGGGGTCCAGGTCCCATGACTGCTCCTGGGTGGTCAACAAGGGCGGCTGGCCCAGGATGGGGGCAGAGAGGGAACATGCACCATCCCAGCACCAGAGAGGCACAAGGAAAGGCCCTGCCTGACCTGCACCCTCCCACCCTCTCCCCCCACCCCACTCCAGGCCTGAGTGAAAGGCAGTCCTTGGCCCCACGCCCACAGCCCCACAAGAGCCCCTTGCCCGGGTGCAGGCTCCACCTGGCACGCACCGTGGAGCCCAGGTTCCTGCAAGGTAGAGGCCCAGATTGTAGGAACTGGGGTCGAGTGTTCTGGGGACAGCAGAGAAGAACGGCCATCCCAGGACCAGAGAGCCCAGCCACCTTGCCTGTGTCACCACCCCTTTGCATAGCAGCCCCTGGGGACCTGCAGACAACTGGTCCCCAGGTCCAGAAGGTCGCATGCACCCTGGGCCGACACACTGCATGCGGCCCTCTGTGTCCCCACCCCTGCAGCTGGGTGCTCAGGCTTCCCCGGAGGACCTGTGTCCAACACTAGGACACAGGTGGGAGAGGGTGGGAGGCCGGCCCTCCCCTACCTGTCCCACTCACCTGAGCGGCCGGGCTGCTTGGCCATGGGCAGGGAGACCTCGGTGAGGGGCAGGACGTATACATCGGGCCCGTTCTGCGCTGCTGCGGCCGGGGAGCCCTGCGCTGAGCCGTCGGCCACACACTCGTCCCCCTCAGCATTCTCAAACTCCTGTGGGCCAGCAGCATGTGCCATGAGCTGGGCTCCAGGAGGGTCAGAGCAGAGGGTGCAGCAGGGCTCTATGGGGCCCTCTCCCCCGGAGCCAGGTGGAGTGGGGGTGGGGCACCTGAGCCCCAGTTGGTGCCCCCCAGGCCCGGGCTGGCTCCTTCCCCTCTCCTCCTGCAGAGCCCTGCTCCTCGCCCCCTGCCTCCCGGAGCCCTGGAGGGACCCAAGGCAAAGCCAAAGCCCCAGCATCCAGCCTCCATGAAGTGACAGTGAGCCCCGGCCACCCGGACCCCACCTCTGCTTGAAGAAGGGGCTGAAGGCAGAGTCCAAGGGAGAGAGGTGGCCGTACTGAGGCCAGCTGCCCTGGCCATCCAGAGACAGACCCCAACACCTCTCAGCCAGCCCTACCCAGAAGCCCCTCACCCTGGGTCCTGCCAGGGGTCCTCTCCGCCTTGGGGCAGCCTTGGAGATAGGGAACACACCATCCCGACCCTGCCACCAAAGTCACCTGGGAGAAGCACCTAAGTGCCCCGCGTCCCTGGCCAGACAAGGAGCAACCTTCAGCCCAGGGGCCACCGGGGCCCACTGCCCCTTGCAGACAGGCGGCCTCGGGCCTTCACCTGCTGCAGCCTCCCTGGGACCTCCAAGCTCCTCAGGGCCTGACACTGGGCAGCACCAGGCAGCCACTCCTGGCCAGGGGCTATTTTGAAATGCAGCTGTCCCAGCCACACTGTCCCCCCACCTCCGGCAACCCCCAGTGCCCAGGTGGGAAAGACGAGTGGGATCGAGGGACTTCTTGAGAAGCTGAAGCCTGGCTACCCACTCAGGACTGTGCCCTGTGGACAGACAGCTGGACGGGGGGGGGGGGGAGGCCCGGCCTCCTTGCCCCCGGGGCCCCCTGAGTTCCTGGGTCTCAGTGCTGACTGGGCTCTGTCAGTGTCCCTGTGGGCAGTCAGGTCTGCACTCAGATACAGAGCCACCTAGGGACAGGACAGGGGGCTGGAGCCTGTGGAAACCCCCTCTCCAGGGCCGGGAGACCACCCAAGGACTCCCCGGCCCTCTAACTCCCACGCCTCTGCAGGTGCCTGCTTCTCACTCAGGTGAGCTCTGGCCGCAGTCCGTTACCTGCCCGAGTGGCCTGGAGGCCCGCTGGGTCCTGCCAGAGCAGCGGGTGATCAGGTAGCACAGAGTGAGCATGGGGGCTGCCCAGCACGGCTCCAGAGGGGAGCTGCCAGGGAGCCCGCTACGGAGGCCGGCCCTCCCACCAAGGCACGCTGGTGCTGGAATGTTCCGGGCACCATGTGCCCAAGGAGGTGAGGAGGGCAGGGGCAGGAGGGGGCTGCCAGCCTGTGTGAGGCCTTGTTCTCAAGGGCCCCGAGGAGGGGCGGCACACAATGGCCCATAAGTTCCACCCCGCCCCCACCCTGCCCACGCGACCTTGAGGCTCTGGCCTCAGGATCCTCCCAATACCCAGCCTTGCCTGGGCCCGCCTGCCATGTCCCTGGGGGACGGGGCACCTGCCGCTCAGGCCCCCAGCTCCCTGGGCTCTGGGGAGGTGAGCCGGCCAGCAAATGTTGGCTTTGGGAGAGGGAAGGCCACGCTCCTGCTGCTCCCCTGCCAGGGGGCCAGTCGGGGGACAGGGACGGGCTTGCATGACATGGCTTTGGGGGCAGGGCAAGGAAGGTGCTGAGACTCCAAAATGGGGCGACCGTGGCTGGGTGTGGGTCACCTGGTAGGAAGGGGCCCCTGGAACGCAGCTGGGCACAGCGTGGGACACAGGGGCCCCGCCCACCCTGCCCTCTCCACGCACTACGATCTGTGCTGGACTCCCAGTGTGGGCGCCAGAGGGGCCAGGCCTTGCTGTGAATGTGCTGATGGGCAGAATCAGGGTCACTGCCCCGCACCGAGGGCAGAGCCTCAGCTTAGGGCTCAGGTCCCTGCCTTCCACCAGTCGGCCCTGATCCGAGCTTCAGCAGGGCCAGGTGGGCGTGGGGGCTTGCAGAGTGGGGGACAGCACCCAAGGGACCACCCCCAGCAACTGTCCTCGGAGGGTGGCCTCAGCTCGAGAGTCCTGCGCCCCAGGGCTAACTGGGCCCTGAGCAGGTGCTCCAGAGTAGCGACGGTGGCCGTCAGTGACGGCAGGGCCCTGGCTCTCAGGGTCTGCACTCCATGTCCCCGAGGGCAGAGATACCCAAACTGAGGGACTGCACAGGGCAGTCGGGGCCAGGGGGCACGTCTGCCTGCCTTCGGCTTCCCTTTGAGGGAATAGCAGGGGACCTGGGGCCCATGGGGACAGCTTCTCAGGTCATGCTCAGCCATCCCGAGCATCCCCAGTGCAGTGGGGGGCGGTGAGTGAGGCCCCAGCCCAGGGATCAGCATGGTCCCCCGTGGTCCCAGGTGGCCCCAGCCACGGTCCCAGCAGCCACCTTGGGAGCCCCAGGAAGGAAGAGAACTCAGGCCAGGCCCTCCAGGTCCCAGGGACAGCCCTGTGGACCCCAGCCCTCACCTTGAACCCAATGCCACCCTTCTTGCAGCACAAGCAGGCCAGCATGAGGACAATGACAGTGAAGAGTCCCGAGAAGGACACAGCCACCACAGCAAGGGACGATGACCAGGAGAGCTCACTGAGCGGGGCTCCGTCTGTGGAGAAAGGAGAATGTGGGGCAGCCCAGGCACCAGGCCCCGTGCCCACCATCCCACCCAGTTTCTCAGCCCACCCAAGACCCTCGCCGCCAGGAAGCTGATGCAAGTGGACAGAGCCTACCCTTTTGTGGCTGACCACTGGGTGCCACTCTGACCTCACCATGGGACACTGGGTTGATAAACTGGCTGGAGCAGGTTCTGCCCCCAATTCTGGGGTTCAGGGATACCTTTCTGGGAGGTCAGGGTCCTGGAGATTGTGGCGTGACCCTCACACTGGGTCGTCCTACTTTGTCCCTCTGAGGCTGGGAGGGTGGGTCACAGACCCTGCCAAGCAGGGGAGGTCATGGATTTGGCCACCAACCACAAGCCAGGATCCAGACAGCTGCTTCCAAGGTGTGGTGAGCCCACTGACCCTGTCTGCAGGGCCAACCCTGCTGGACCTGCCACCAACACCTCCCTGGACCACTCTGTCCTGGGGGCAGCAAGGACCCCCTTCTGCAGCACCTGGTCCACACGAGCTGCTTCGTCCCAGACAGGGACGCTGCAGTGCCCAGGACAGCAGGACACACCCTCCCAAAGGCCCAGCCAGAGTCGGCTCCCAGGTCGGCCTCCCCACGGAGCCTGGCTCAGGGAAGCTCCGTCACCTGGTGGCCCCGAGGCAGAGGTCAAGGCCGGCCCAGACACCCCCTGGACAGAGGGGACACACTTGGCCAGCGGCTCCATGCTGGGCCTGCCCCACCCACACCCAAGGCTCCCGCCCACCACCCCAGAGGCCTTCTGTGCCCATCTGCCCCCATTGGCCCTGGGGGTCTCTGGACCCACCCAGCTTCTCTAGCCAACGAGCCCCCTCAACCTCTCCTCAGCCAACAGCAGACCCCTCAGACCCTGTCGCCTGCCCCAGGACCCCTGAGGTAGCAGCCATTTCTACCCGCTGGTGAGGAAGCAGTCAGCCAGGTGAGGGCCACTGTGCTCCTGCCGGGTCTTCGCCTAACGGGGCATCTGGGAGGACTGCCCGGAGGCGGTGAGACCCGAGGGCCTGGAAAGACAGCAGATGCGGCCTGGGTGTCCCACTCAGGGCTCCAGACCCACTCCCACACCCACTCCTGAGGCAGAGAGGGGCCTTGGGCAGCCAGGACAGGGACCAGGCAGGGCCAGGGGACAGAGGGCAGGTCAGCCAGCAAATCCTGTGGTGAAGACCCACACAGAGAGTGGCACACCCATGGCCATGCCCACCTGCAGCCCTGCGTGGATGCCTACGGGTGTGTGTGTGTGTGTGTGTGTGTGTGTGTGCGCACGCGCACGTGCAGGTGTTGCACAGAGAACGCCCGTTGCCACGGTGACCACCTCCCGTCTCCACCTGGTACCGAGCTTCATCAGTATGCCCCCTCCACCCACCTCTGCCTGCGCGGGACAGACTGGCCGACTGAGTCCCCTTGGTGGCCTTAGGGCTGTGGCTGATGGCAGCAGGCAAGTGCCCTCACCCCTGGAGGAGCCCCAAGAAGCCCGTGCTGGGCCTCCACCTCCGTTACCAGGCCCTTGCGTCCTACAGAGGCCCACCGTGGGTGCCCTGCTGACCTCCAGGGGTGGCAGGGTGGGGGCATTCACAGCATTGCTGGACCAAGCAGCCACGGAGGGCAGGCAGACGGGCGCCGAGTGCTCCTCCCCTGTCGCCCCAGTGCCCACATCTCTGAAGTCGGATGTGTGGGGTGGGGAGGGCCAAAGGGGCCGGCCAGAGCAAGCAGGGGACCCCGGGGGGCATTTGCTCCCGAGACAGCAGAGACTATGGCCTCCACGGTGCCTTCAACCCAAGAACCCTCCTGCAGACTCACTGCCACACGGTTTGCAGACAAGGACACGGAGGCCCAGGTCAACAGGGGCCACTCCCTTCCTCCCACAGCCACAGGTGCCCCCAGGGAGAGCTGGTTCCCAGGCTGCAGGCTGGCTGGGCCCCGGGTCCCCTGCTCTGGGCACCTGACACCCTCGACTGAGGCTCCAGAGCACCCGCTGTGCTGCCCAGCTGGGCACCTGCTGCCTGCCCACAGGCATCGGCTCTTGGGACAGAAAAGGGCCCGAGGGCCAGGCACACCTGCCCAGGTGACAGGGCTCGCGCGTGCCCACACGTGCCCACACGTACACAACCACGCTGCAAACACACGGACAGACGTTAGCACACTGGCCCACACAGGAGTGTGCTCACAGACGGGTGCACACTTGCCACACACGTACCCACGTGTCCACATGCACGCACACACACCAGGTGCACACACACCCCTCTGTCCCCAAAAGCCGGCTCCGTCATCCCCAATTCCCAAGTAAGAAAACCCAGGCTCAGGGCGTTGCAAAGGCGCCTGCAGAGTGGCCACGGCCGGCAGCCCCTGACTGCTCTCCACCACCAGGAGGCCGGAGGCCAGCACCCCCGGGCCATGCCTGCCCCAGGTCAGGGGGGGGTGGCTCTGCTCAGGGCCCTCCCTTCTTCCCCTCTCGCAACCTCAGCGCTTGGCCAGGTGACCACTGGTCCAGGTCACCTCCTGGTGGTCTGGGAGCCACCCATCACCATGTTGACTGACAGGGGAAGGAAACCATGGGACCCGAGGGGACAGGACACCGCCTCGCCTGAGGGTCTGGGCAGCCTGGCCCTGGACAGAACCTGGGGTCTGGCCTTTTACGGGGGCTTCTCAGGCAGCTGCACAGAAGCCAGGACACGGGACAGAGATGGGGACAGGAAGCCAAGCGCAGCCCCCGGGAGGGAGCCTGGGCTGAGGGTGTGGAGGGAGGGCGCAGAGGTGGCAGGTGGGAGGGTCAGTGACTTACCAAATAAGTCACTCTATAGCTGGTCAGAGGGGCCAGCCTGTCCCTGTTGGGGAAGGGCATCCAGACTGGACAGGGCAGCAGAGGGGGCCCAGGATGAGGGCGGGAGCCGGAGGTGGGAGTCCAGGTTATGAAGCACTAGATGCTCAGGGACCCCACTGGCCCAGAGGGAGCACCCGGTACTCCCTCTGTCCACCGGGGCCTGGGAGCAGAGATTCCCTAAGCCACGCCTCTCCCAACTGTTCCCAGGGTGGGCTGCCCACTGACGCACCCAGACAGCCTCCCTCATCCCAGGACCTCATGCCCAGGGACACAAAAGGCACATGTGGCTTTGTTGGAACAAACATCAAGCGTTGACCGATGCCCTCCGGCGGCTTCTCCCAAACTCCCCAGCCTTGCAGGCCCCCAATCCTCAGTCCCACGGCAACCTGCGTTGAAAGGCCCCTTCAAATCAGACCCCCGCACTGGCACCCCAACAGCCCCTGGCCCTCCACAGCAGCTCCATGTCACCAACAGCTTGGCTGGGGCTGCTTTGGGGACCCATGGTCAGCAGCACAATATCCATGCGGGTGCGCAGGCCTCGGCTTCCCAAGACCACCGCCCACAGGTAGGGGACACTCCAAGATGCGGCCCAGGAGACCTCTGCATCAGCCATGTCCGCTGTACCCAGCCCTGCCACCTCTCAGACCGAGGGTGGCGGCTCCCTCCCCCCGCCCCTCTGCTGGCCTCCACCAGGGTGGATGGCCCTCCGCCCCACTTCCTGCGTTGGCGTCAGCACCAGGCCACGGCCGTCACTCCCAGGTCTGTTTATGTCTCACTGAGGGTCCCGCTCCCCACGAGCTGGCTGTGCTGGTGTCTCTGTCACCTTGAGTCTCGCTCCACCCAGATTTGGGCAGAAAGATGGCCCCAGAGCTGTCCCCCTCCTGACCCCCAGGACTTGGGACTTGGCAGCCATGACCAGGAAGGGCCTGAGATGGGACAGCAGCCTGGGTGACCAGGACAGCCCAGGGCCACTACAAGAGTCCCTGGCTGGGAGGCCGGGGTCAGAGAGGTGTGACAGCGCAGCAGAGTCACCGTGATCAGAGGGGCCCTGACATGGGGACCCTAACACCAAGAAGACAGGAGTGGTTTCTCCCTGAGCCTCAGGAGCCAGCCCTCCAAAGCCTCCATTTTAACCAACAAAATCAGGGCTTAAACTCAGTACCATTTAAACCCACAGCCACGGGACCAAGACTCGCCCACCACCCAGGGCCCAGCAGAGCCCTCACGGGACCCCTGCAGCCCCCACTGTGAGCCTGGCTGAGTCTGACCCTGCCGCCTGGGTGTGGCCCTGCCCTGCTGAGTCGCCCAGAGTCCAGGGTGGCTGAGGTCAGCAGGCCACCTGGCCCAAGCTCTGTGTGACCCCACCGTAGGCCCACTACGGGGTCATCTGTGTGACCCCCAGTCTCCACCAGGTGGCACTCTCTGGCCACTTCACGCGCTCGCGGTTCAGCAAGGCCGGGGCCTCCCAGGAGCACGGCAGGGGAGCAGAGCCTGGGGACCAGGTGCTTGGGGGGGCACGGATTGGGGACCCAAGTTTGGGGGCTGCAGACCCCCAGTCCTGGCACACAGCCCTTACCAGGAGGGGCTGCTGGGTCTGCTCAGCCCTGCTCAGCGGTGGCCACCACCTGGCTCTGCCTGCCCTGCCTGGGGATCCCTGGCCTGTCACATCTGCTCCAGGACGAACCCTCCAAGGCTGTCACCACCGACCCTGAGCCTGTTCCCAGACACTGCCCTCCACGCACAGAGGAAGGCCAGAGAGCCCGCAGGGCCCACCACAGGCCGCCTCCTGGGGCTCTGGGGAGCCGCAGCAGCTCCCGGGCCTCGGGTGGTCCTGGACACACCACTTGGCCACGCCCAGGGCCCTGACCACACTCATCACACCCAGCTCTGGAAGGGGCTGTCAGGGTCAGGGGTCAGGGGCTTTCTAACAAGGAGACCTCTCCACCACCAAGCAAGCCCCGTGGGCCCTGGGGGGCTGGGGTCCTGCCCTGCTCTGCACATTCTGGGGTCTTCTCAGAAGGTAGGTGCTTGGGGCCAGCAGCGGCCCCACACTGGGTCTCTGCCCCCTGCTGCCCTCTGCAGGACAGACTGGGACAGCATCCACAGGCAGGGATCTGTCTGCCTAGGGCCCAAACCTTGAGCCCCAAGAAGGACAATGGACTGTGTGTGTAGTGACCTGGGCCCCAAGACCCCAAGGCACAGGCCCCACTTCCACGGAAGGGATGAGCCAACACACTTGCTTATAACTGGCCTGAGGTTATAACTGGTGGCTGAGGTCAGCAGGCCACCTGGCCCAAGCTCTGTGTGATCTCACTGTAAGCCCAACTACTGGGTCATCTGTGTGACCCCCCAGTCTCCACCAGGTTGTACGTCCCCCAACCATCCGGCCATCTGAGCATGTCTTCCCACCTGGCCCCGTTAACACTGATCTCCTGCCTTGGGTGGAGGTCAGACAGAGAACTGTCCCCAGCATGGGACAGCAGATGGGGGCAGCAGGTGCTCTGAGCCCTCTGCCAGGCAGAGCCCCTGAGGGATGACAGGGGGCACAGTGGTCGACCCTGCTGCCCTGGACACAGTGCTCATCCTCTGGGCTGAGGCTGAGGCTCCACCCTGCAGCACCGGAGCCCTAAGGCCTGGCAGCCTGCTCGCTGGAGACTCAGAGGGTGGACCCAGCCACTTGCCAGCTCCTGCGCCGGGGCCTCTTTCTGCACCCCCAGTGCCCAGGAGCCAGGGACATGGAACAGTGCTGGCTCTCGAGGACAAGGGCACTCACAGCCCGCTCCATCCTGGCCGCAGACCCCTCTCTGGGAAGGCCCTGCCGATGTCGTAGCGTGACCAGTCCTGAGACCTAAGCCCCGGGTGGGTTTGGGGAGTGCCCTGGCCGAGGCCGAGGTGGCCCCACTGCTGGAGCCCTCAGCCCCTCTGGTTCAGGAAGCCCTGGCCGCAGTGGCCTGCCCACCTCCCAGGCCGAATCTCAGGAACCCACAGGCCAGCAGGCCTTGCCTGCCTGCTCAGCAAGAGTCCTGCTCCATGTGACTGTCCCCAGGACCCACACAGCTGCTCTGGGAGCTGGAAGGTTCTCTGCATGGGGTCCATGTCCACTCCCCCAGGCTCCTGCTGCTGGCCAGCTGTGCACACCCTCAGCCCCTCCTCAGCATCCGGAAATAGCTACTCACACCCCGGGAGCCCAGGACTTCTGGGCCTGCAGAGAGACCCCATCCTCCAGGCCCCTCAGGGTCTCTGGGGCCTGGAGGATGTGCCCATGTGCCCCAGGATGAGCTACGGGTCTGAGCTCGGGGGTGCTGGCCCACAGTGAGTGCCACCAGGCCTGGGAGCCCCCTGCAGGCCTCCCCCACTGAGTGGCCCTCTCAGGGGCAAGTGCCCAGGTGTGAGGGGCAGCTCACCTCGGGAGCGTTCCTCCTATGTGGCTAGTGTACCTGGGTGCACCCTTCTAGGGACACGGGGCCTGCCCCCCTCTGCTTGAGGTGGCACCAATAGTCAGGGTCCCCTTGCACAGAACCAGTCTGGCCTGTACCCCAAAATGCTCCAAAATTGTCCCAAACCCGACAGGGATAAGCAGTGCCGCAGGCAGGAACGTGGGCCAAAGGCGGAGCCCCCCTGGGAGCCCTCCCTCCCCACTGACCCAGCAAGAGGGTGGACAACACAACCAAGGGGCAGTGCCTGTGGGTAGACAGCTGGGGACCGTGGAGGGCTGGTGGGCTGGGGGAAGCCCCAGGACCTCCCTGGGAGCAGGGGCGCGTCCCGGGCCACCCCAGGCCGTCTCTGGCTAACACTTCCTGATTGTCGAAGCTTCTGTTTGGTAAGAGTGACACAGTCCTCTGTGGGGAAGACTGCAGAGACCGGTGCCTCCCCAGAGGGCCCCAGAGTCAACTGTGCTCGCGCCCACTGCAAACGACGACGTGGACAGAGCCCTGGGGGGGGGCTGGAAGGCTTAGGAAGGAGGGAGCAGAGAGGACGCTGGCCTTTCCAGGTCACCTCAGCAAAGGCCACGATGACCCAGGTGCTGTGCTGGGCACACCCACCATCCTGCCTCACCTCCACCGAGTAGCCAGACTGGCTCTGGTGTGTCCATGTCAAGTTTCAGCATCTTAAAGAAAATAGGTAAACACTGTCTCTGTCTTTGGACTTTGTCTCTGTGGTGCTGGGGACAGAAGCAGGGCCTTGCTCTGCCGCTGACCTCACCCCAGCCCCCCGGGGGCTCCACCACTGAGTTACTGCCCTGGCCCTGTCTATTCGTATTTTGAGACAGGGTCTCACTAGCCTTGAACTCGCACTCCTCTGCCTCAGCTGTGGGAGGACCGGGTATCACAGGCGTGCACCACTGTGCCCAGCTCAACCGAGGATTTTTAAGCTAAAAAATGATGGAAGGATTCACAAAAGAAAAGATAGAAGGGTTTGGCCACGTCGCAACTTGTGACGGGCCTGAGTGCGTGGCCCCCACCACGGTGGCAGCTACTCGCTCAGGAGGCTGAGGCAGCGGAACACAGCTCAAGGCCGCCGGGCAGCTGGGGGCCTGTCTCGAAAGGATACGTGCATAAGCAGAAAGGGCTGAGGGCCGCCCAGCGGGAGGGCGCCTGCCCACCGGGCCTCAGGTCTAGCAGCCAGTACCGCAGTCAAATAATGAAAGTCTGGGGGGTTACGGCCCCGAGTTGGCGGCTGGGGTTGTGGCTCAGAGTGGCTCAGAGTGGCAGGTGTGAGCCCTGGGTTCCATCCCCAGAACCCCAGAGAAGTAAAATACACAAAACAAAGGTTTTGTGTCCATCAACTAAACACACGTATATATATATATATATATATTTAAAAAGCCCCCAAGTTAAAGGCACCCAGCACAGCCGCCAAAATGACTTAGGGAAAGCGTGTCCAAGAGCCGAGGCCACCCCACACCCAGCACGAACAGCAAGGCGCCACTCGGCACCTCAGGACCCTGCGCTCTGAGGCAAGCTCAGTCACCAGTGAGGACATGCAAGTCCTCAACCCCAAGGAGGCGCTCAGCTCCCTTCACGATCAGAGACGTCAGAGATGCCAAACCAGGGCAGTGACCAGCAGTCTCGCCCACGGGGGAGCCAGGGCAGAAATGAGTGAGAGGCACAGGAGCGAGCCACCCGGGCCACCCCAGCCACCCGGCCCATGGGGATGGCCGTGGCTCTTTCTGAAAGGAAGAGGACGAGGCTCGGGGAAGGGTGATGGGCACCAGGCCTCTGCACAGCGGAGACACCCAGGACAGCCCAGCATGGGCTCCGTGCAGCGCCTGAGGCCGTGCCACGCAGGCTGTCCACAGAGGCCACGGATGCCAGGGGCTGGGGTTGGAGAAGGATGGGGCCCCCGGTGACAGGAACTTTCTGGAACCACAGGTGGTGGCTATGCCCCTGCAAACACCCCAGTGCCGCTGACTTGCCCACGAGGGAGGGTGGAGTCTGTGGGCCTCACCTCAGCACGTCCCCATGGTGAACGGTGACACCCAGTGCCCACGCCATCCACAGGAAGCTGTGGCCAGCCCTGACCATCCCAACTGGCCCCACTCGTGTGGCAGGGCCACAGGTCCTGGGCACCTCCCCGGCCGGCCAGTCATTGGCCCCAGGGAGCTCTGGCTCTCCCCCACACCAGGTCTTCTCCGGCCCTGGTGTCCTTAGGTCCTACACAGAGGACACCCAAACCCTCCTGGAACAGGGGCCACAGTCACAACAGACTTCTGTCCTGGAGACCCCTCCCTGGGCCCCACCTTGGCCAGACCCCGCTGCAGCTCACCCCAGGGTCAGTCCGGCACTGTGGGTCCCTGAGAACAGCGTGGCCATCCTGGACACTCAGCCCCTTCCACCACCACCTGAGGTGAGCCACAGTGGCCACCAGTGGCTGGACAGGTCCAGATGGGGCATCGGGACCTCCCGGTGCCAGGCCCACACCCGCCTGGTGATGCAAATGGGATCTCGCTCAGGAAGGAACTGGCGCAACCGTGTGCTGAGCTGAGAGGCGGCCACAGGCAGCCGAAGGGCGGTCTGCACACCCAGGTCAGGGGCAGTGCCCCGGGGAGCCTGGGGTCTCCAGGATGTCACAGATGCCCCCTTCCAGCTCCCACAGAGTAAGTAGCAGGGTTCTGGGGTTCCCACAGCAGGCCAGGGGAGAAGGAGAGTGCCCTGTCCCCCATGGGCCACTGGAGGGCAGACAGAGCTGTGGGGCAGCGGCTTGGTTTCTGAGAGGGTGCACCAAGGCCCAGACCCAAGGCTCCTTCCAGAATGAACAGAACTCCCCAGAAAGGTGGACAGTCCTGTCCCAGGTGGAGACAGGGAAGAGGGTCGGCACTCGTGTGGCAGGGCCACAGGTCCTGGGCACCTCCCCGGCCAGCCAGTCATCTGGGCCCATCTTCCCGAAGCTCCCAGGACCAAGGTTATGTCCAGCCTTGGTGGACACCTCCACACCAAGAGCTTCCAGACGGCCCCTAGCCCCAGGAGCCCCACCACTAGAAGCCGGGTGCTGGGCAGGCGGGCACCAGATTCCATGGAGCCTCCAGCAGGTGAGAGGCAGCCCAAGGGGCACCGAGGGAGGAGACAGCACCCTGAAGGCTCCAAAGGCCCAGGACTCAGCCCTGCCCGCCCGACCTTCCCAATCCCCTCAGCCCCAGAGCCTGGACAGCCTCCCCTGGGCAGGACACAGAGTCAGTAGCTAAGAAGCGACCACAGACGTTCAGCCAAGAGACGTGTGACCTACAGTGACAAACTCAGGGTCCTGCAGGTGCCAGCCCACTAAGGGCCTCCAGGACTGGGGTTTGAGGCTCCCATGAAGTCCAGACAACTGGGTGCTGTGCCCACTGCCCTGCCAGCAGGGGAGACCCACTGAGTTGGACGTAGCCAGGGCAGGCCATGGGCCTGAGTAGCTGCGGGCTCAGCCTGTGGGCAGGTGGACAGCAGAAATGGAGGTGGCCCACTCCCAGACCTCAGGTCCAGCTCCAGGAGGGCCCCACTGTGACCAGATTGGTGTCAGCCCCTCCATCGTCACCCTGGGCCAGGGGCTAGAATGTCACCTACACCAGACGCCGGTGAGGAGCCGAGGCAGGGGGGCCCAGGCCAAAGGGGAGCTGGGCACACGCCTTCCACAGCCTCACCTGCAGACGCACACGCACTCCCACAGACAGCCACGCACACCCACGCATCCCCACATCCCGACACACCTGTGCCCTCACACGAACACACAGCTGCACACACCCACGCACACACCCCCACCTCGACAGACACGGTGTGCACACAGGCATGAACGTGTCCACCCGGGTGCACCTGCACGCACCTTGCACACAGGATCTGCACGCTCACACACGCCCACCCCACAGCACACACGGCAGTTCTCAGGGCAGTCTATCCTGGGTCCACAGGGTCCCCGCATCTCCCAGGACCCGAAGTCTGCTGCCCGGCCCTGGACAGGCCACCCTGCGTTGGCAGCTGGAGAGGCCTAGGGACAGCAGGAAGCTCTGCCAGTGCGGCCAGAGCGACAGTCCTGTCTGACCACACCAAGTCCTGCCTGGGTCCTCCCTCCAACGCCCCACCATGCTCCCTGACACCCCAGGGCCCTCTGAGGCCCGTCCAAGGGTGGGGTGGTGACGGACAGGAAGCCCCAGGGCAGCCAGCTCACTGGGTAGGCAAGGTCAGGGCCACCCAGAGTCCCCCGCTCCCTCACTGAAGTGCCTTGCTGCACACGCCATCGTCCACTCTGCACAAGTGTCATCTCACTGTGGCCCCCGCCTCAGCCTGCCGACCCACATCCCTCGGCCCAGACTCTGGTCACCTCGGGCCCCCAGCCCTGACACAGCACCTGGGCAGAAGCCGAGGGCCACGGGGCTCCAGCTGCGGAGGAAGCCACAGGTCCTTGCCAGACCCTCGAGTACCGGGGACGCACGCTGGTGCAGTTATTTTTAGCCACAACTGGTAGGACTGCCTGTCACGGAAGAAAAACAAGACCGAGAGGGACGTCCCGGGTCCAGAGCAGCTGGACGTGGTGCCTTCCTCGCCGGGACCCCACGGGACGGAGAGCAAGACCGGGGGCCCCGGGGGCTTAGAAGCAAGGACCAGGCCAGGCCAGGCCTGCGTGTCCACACAGAGTCCCAGCACGATCACCCTCCAGCCAGTCACCCCAGAGGCAGGAACTGTGCTCAGGAATGACAGCCTTGGGCCGGAGAGACTCCGGCAGCTCTGGGCGAGCAAGGCCTGGGGCCGTGGTGAGCCCAGGAGGGGTGGGCGACCAGTCGGGAGGACAGGGGAGGGAGTGCGCGGCTCCCCTGGCATGAGTGGCCCACAGCGTCCTGTCTGGCCGGAGCATGGTCCCTAGGAAGGGAAGGGGCAGAGGCTGCCAGACGTCAGAGCAAGCAGGAAGCCTCCGACAGGCTGGGAAGAGGACTCCGCCTGGCCAGCGGGCCCTGGGACAGGCACGCAAGGCCGCCAGGCATCGGGGAAATGCAAGCGAGGCCGCCGAGGGCTAGGCGCACCCCAGGGGGCAGGGTGAGGGGACGGGCATGGGGTGCGATGGCTGCAGGCACGGGGCTTTTATTAGGGGAACGGGAGAGCTCCCAAGCTGACGGTGGCGGTGGCTGCGTGACCGTGAACACTAAAAGCCACAGATCCTACCCTCCACGTGGAGGGATCCTGGGTGTGCAAATCAAACCTCAGAAAGGGGAAGGAGGGGGGCAGGGGAGGGAGGGCAGGAGGAGGCCCACCAGAATGCTCAGGAGGGCAGCCCAAGTCGGGCAGAACTGAACACTGGCCCCATGGAGCTGACCACCCCTCGCCTGGTGGAATAGCCTTCATCAGAGGGCACGAGAGACCCTCGGCCTGCAGAGCCCAGCGACAGCAGCCTGGGGGACAGGGCCAAGAGGGCGGCTAGCAGGGCACTGTCACCAGGTGGGACACCCACTGAGCCGCACACTGGGGACGGAGCCCATCTGTGTGTGTGCAGGGTGACTAGGAAAGGGGCACCAGAGGACATCCCGCCCCCAGCAAGCCTGACCGGGACCGCGGACCCTCCACAGAAAGGAAACCCAGCCGATGGCCAGAGCCAAGCCACTGCTCCACCTGTCTGCCCGCCGGATGCCCCTCCTGCTGGCCCCGGGCTGGGCCCCACGGGGGCAGGAGCCGGCAGCTGCAGACGCCAGGCCCCTCCTTCAGTCCACGGAGAGCGACAGGACAGCAGGCTGCGCGCACAGCCAGAGGGGACCTAGGAGCACGGGGTCCTGCGGGGCAAGCCAAGACAGCGTCCTGGATGCCACCCCTGGCCTTGAAGTCCAGCCTCAGGGCACAGGTGACCTGGGCCAGCTCTGGGACCCAGGTCCCCTATCCCTCACCACAGAGCTGCCTGCTGCCCTGTGCCCACGTGGTGAGGAGGAGAGGCCCCCAGGGCCCCCAGGTGGATGGAGCTGGACTGCCCAGAAGCCCCCCTGCAGAGGCTCTGCCCATGCTAGGTGTGGCCACATCCTCTGGCAGGGTCCTCGTCCCCGCAGAGGCCTGGCATCAGCGTCCTGCCCGCCCCAGGCTGGCACGGCGGAGCAGCCTCACAACCCCACCTACCGGACTCCAGCCAGTGGCTCCTGGTGGCTCCGGCTGCGGCTCCGCCCCAGAGCGTGGCCCAGGAGCAGCCCACCCTCACCTGCCCCTGCGGCCCCGGCCCCCAACCCAGGCCCTGGAGGAGGCAGGGTAAGCCGCGTGACCAGCCTACTGTGACAGTCCTCAGGCGACCGTGGCCCAGACAGGCGGCCTGGGAACTGGCTCCGGCCCCTGTCCGCTGCCCTCATTTCCTCTGCCGGCTTCCTCTGCTGGGGGTGGGGAGGCCGTGGCCGCCTGTCCTGCTGCTGCTGGTTCCTCAGTGACAGCAGGCGGGGCCCAGACGCTGAAGCCCTCCCAGCACCGTGGCCCTCGGGGGCGGGGGGGGGGTGACCCGAGTCTCTCCACCAAGGACCCACCTGGGGACAGGACGGAGCCACCCAAGGCTCCGGGCAGCAGGCCAGGCTCCCTTGAGGTGATCTCGCCCAGACTCCCCCCGCCCCCAGGCAAGGCTGGGTTGGCTCCCTCAGGCCCACCTGGTCCTGCCCCCAGGGCCAGCCTCTGAGAGGGACAGGCCTCCTCAGAGCCCAGGAGGGCCTGGCAGGGGGCTGGGAAGTGCTCCCCGAGCAGGACAGGTGTTGGGGACAGCCATGCCTCAGACACATCCCTGCTCACCCCCACTGCCGAAGCTGGGCGGGCTGCAGGCAAGGCCGTCAGCTCTGGCCCCGGGGGGCCCAGCACCCTGAGGGACCAGGGGCGACAGTCTGCACAGCGTCCTGGGGCTGCCTAGCAAAGTGCCAAGACTGATCCCCCCGGTTCTGGAGGCCAGAGGTCAGGTCCAGGAGCCCACAGGAGCCCACGCTCCCCAGCAAAGTCCAGGGGAGGGTCCTCGCCTCCCCGTCCCTGCCTCTGTCCTCTCGTGGCCGTCTTTCTGCCAGTGTCTGTGCTCCCTCTTCAGGTGGCCCCCCGCCTGGCCTGGCCTCGTCCTAACGCATTCCGTCTCCATGAGCTAGTTCCCACGTGGCCCCCTCCGAGGTCCTGGGTGGGCACGAATCTGGGTGACCCCCTTCAACCAGCCAACTCCTCCAGAGGAGCCGTGAGGAGGGGCGGCGGCATCCAGGGGGCAGGCTCCCAGGCCACAGGTGAGCGAGGGGACTCTGGCCAGCCCCCAGAGTCTCGGGAGCCACCCACAGCAGGGGCTGCCGAATCTCACAAGACACTCGTCCACAGTCACGCAGTCCACGCAGGTGGTCAGGGCTGGGGCACAGCGTGGGGGTCTGGGCACCCCGAAATGCACAGAGACCCAAGGCAGAGCCTTCCTACACATTTCAAGTCACAGCCACCACAGGTCCAGCCAGGCCATCTGGGGGACTCAGGCCCACGCCAAAGCCAGCAGCACCAGCGGGCCCAGTTCAAGGTCCCCCAAGAGAGAGGGTCTGGCCTGGGAAGGACCAGGGAAGGCGGCTCCAAGCCTGGGCTCTGACCACAGAAGCCACAGGTACAGACGGCGGAGGACGTCCACTGCCCCTGCGTGTGCCCAGGTGCGGGTGTGCGTGTCAGGTGTGTGTGGGATCAGTGGGCGTGAGGCACACGTGTGTGTTCGTGTTCACGGGTGTATGAACCCGCAGGGGCAGGTGGGTGGCTGGGCCCTGGGCAGGGTGGGAGCAGGTAGAGCCCATCTGAGGGAAGGGCACACCCCACTTCCTGAAGAATGTGCCAGAAGGGAGAGAAAGGGTTTCCCTCCCTGCCCAGGGCCTGGGACCTCACATCTCCTCCCTGGCCTCATGAGCTCCCTCCTGGGCTCCCAGACCACTCCCCGGCTCGGCCAGGCTCCTGTCCCCAGGAGACGCTCTGCCTTCACCCAGGCCCCACAGCCCCAGGCTCAGGAGTCGGGGTCACGGCTCTCTGGTTTCCAGGGCCCATCTGTGAGCCAGGAAGCAGGACGGGGATAACACCCGGCTGTCCCAGGGCACCTTCTTGGGCCCTTGCGCCCCCTGAGTCCCTCACCCCTGTCCTGCTCGACCAGGCCTGGTCTGGGACTCGGCCTCCTCTGCTGCATGGTCACTGTGGGCCCTGGTGCGCCTGGCTGTGCGCCTGGCCACACATGGACCTGGGAGGAGCCACTGTCCTGGTGAGGCTGGGCCTCCCCAGAGGGGAGGATGTGAGCTGAGGGGCTGGAGGATGGGGTGGGAAGTGGGGAAGGTGCTGGCCCAGCTGCCCTGTCCTCCACGAGTCTCCACACACTCCAAGTGCTGCTGACTGGTCCAGGACACCTGACCGGGGACAGCCTTGACAAACACTGTCCAGGTACCCAGCTCGGCTGAGTGCTCCACACCAGGGAGGATACCACAGCCCCCAGCTTAGAGATCAGGAAACGGAGGCACAGACAGGGCCAGGTGCCCAGGAGGGGGCTGGTGAGCACACCCTGGGCACCTGGCCCAGCGCTGCCCGAGCCGTGCCCGGAGGCCTGGGGGCAATGCACTGCCACCCAGCACTGCCAGCACCTAGGACAGCTCCAGGCCCAGGAACCACAGCACCCTGATGGAGGCCTGAACCAGCCGGAACCCACTGAGGCCCCCGGTCATCCAGAGGCTGAGAGTGAGAAACGGGTCACCCCTGCCCTGGGGCACCCGGCAGGAGCGGTAACCCCACCCCTCAAGGTCAAACACCACCTCCTTCCCAGCCCCCTCCAGCTGCCCCTGTTCCCCTAAGATGACCCCATCACCCTTCATTTCTTGGCTTCCATTCTCTGCCCACCTGGTCTACCCAGGAAAAGGCTTCACCTGTGCAGAGCTGATCTCAGAGAGGCTGGGTGATTGGCCCAAGACCACACAGCATAAAAGCCACCTGACTGCAACTGCCATGGAACGTTCCCCAGTCACCCATGTCTTGGGTGTCAGGGAGCCAGGGAAGAGCCAGACCCAGATGAGCAACTCTTCCTGGGCTCCCCTGCGCTGGCCCATATCACCCCAGGAGTGAGCATCCAGGCCTGTCCCCTCAGCACCCTGTCCTGCCCAGTATGGCTGGTGGGGGTGGAGGGGGCCCAGGCAGACCCCAGCAAGTGCCAATGGCCTCCACCTCCAGCTCAGCCTCTGCAGTCTCAGACACATCTGCCCACACCACCTGTACCATCAGACTGCGGTCACCTCCGTGCAGACCAGGACCAACTCCTGTGATGGACCAAGAGCTGGTCATGGGCACAGGGCACAGGCTGGAGACCGTCAAGACCCTGTGCCTGGCGCTGCAGTGACCAGTGAATGACCCATAAACAAACTGCAACCATTGACAACATGAGCCCCCTCTTCCCTGGGTTTTGCTGGCCCCAGAGGACCACCCACAGATGCCAGCTGAGCTCAGAAAGGACCATCTCTCTCTCCATTATGGGGATGAAGAAAGTGAGCAAGCCACTGTGGTCACAGGGAGCCTCGGGCACCAGGCTGTGCCCCAAGACTGTCTGGCATAGCTGCATGCCTCCAGAGCAGCCCAGGCTCCAGCATTGTCCCATTGGACAGACGGGAAAATGGAAGCCCAGAGAGTCAGGGAAGGAAAGAGGAATCTCAGTGGGGGACAGCAGGTTCTGAATGCTGGGCTAAGTACAGCCAGAGGTGCCTGCCTCTCCTTCCCCACACACGGAGCCCTCAGGGCCTGTGGGTTACCCCTGCAGGAGCATTCTCTCCCATCCCATCACCTCCTGGGTAGCCCCAGGACAGGTGCGGTGCCGGGGTACAGTCATGGCGGGGCTCTCTCCTTCCAGCAACCTTTCTCCCTCCTAGGTCATTAAAAGGACACGTTGTAATGACACTGATCACAGCTGGCTACCAAGTCTGTGCCCATGCTCAGAGCTGCTGTTCCCCTACGGTGGGGAGGGTCTCTCTTGCCCTGGACACCTGGTTCAGGGTTAGGGTGCAAAGACCTCACCAGGAGAAGTCTGCATCCAACAGAGAGGCGTCCACTTCCACTCCCCAGCAGTCCCAAGGCCACCCATCTGAGCCTGGACCTGCTTCCCAGCAGGAAGACCCATGCTTGCTGGACAACATCTGGCATGGCATGGGGACCTTCCCAGCCCACGGCCAGCTCCCAGCTCCTGGATGCTGGTGTGTGGCCTGGGGTTGCTCAGCCCCTACCTCAGCCCGCCAGTTCCTGCTGCTGCTGCTGAGCTCTGAGCCATCTGATGATGGTGGCACTGTGGTCTCTGAGCCCCTCAGGTCACCCCAGGAAGTCATTTCCAAGCAAGTGATACCCATGGCCCTTAGCCAAGCAGACAGCCCTCCCCCAGGAACAAATGCCTTCAGACCTGGTCTGCCCAGGGGACCCCGTGCATCACTGCCCGTGCTGGCCCCCCTCCAGGGAGGAGACCCAGGAGAGCCATCATGTGCAAGCCTGGCTCTGTTTGGGCTGCATCAGCTTGGTGCCAGAGCCCCAGGGACATGGAGGTAGGACTCGAGGCCCCTGGGCAGGGGCTTATCCCCCACTTAGGCTCAGAGGGGCTGGGAGCTGGAGACAGCAGAGGAAAAGCCACCTCCTAGCCACACCTGGGACTGCCCGCTGTCCACCCCCTCTGCCCACCCAGCTGCCACACCATAGCCAAGCAGCCACCAGTAAACATGTCACTGCTGGGTCCACGGGGTGGGGGTGGGGCCTGGACCTAGTCCTGTGCAGCCAGCTTGACAGCCCCACCTCTGCTTCACCTGCTGCCCAGGGCCTGGGCCCCACCAAGGCCCACTCTAGGCCTCCACCTGGTAGGCCAGCCACCACCTCCCCTGACAGGGAGCCCCAGAACCAGCTCTGGGCCTGGTAAGGAGCCCCCCAACCAAGACTATAGGCCAGCAAGAGTCCACAGATGGCCCGTGCCCCAGCCTAGATGCCACCCCCCACACACACCTCCCTAAGGGCTCTGAGCCATGGCAACCTCCTCTCCTGCACACCTGGGGCCAACCTGAGCCCTCCGAGCCCTCCCCAGTTACCTGTGCTGGGGAGGCATCCCAGGGACACAGGACCCAGCCACCATTGCCAGCCCAGCTGTGCCCTGTCTGGGCCCCAGGGCCTGCCCAGTTCCACAGACCTGTAGGGGTCCTGCTAAGCTTGACCCTGCTCCTCTCTCCCGGCTCCAGGCAGAAAAGGGGTTAATTTCCATGCAAAATGGGAAACCCAGGCCGCAGCAGCACCCTGTCCGCAGTGGGAGGCAGGTGGGGGTGGGATGCAGCCAGCAGGCCCAGGGGCGCGCGT